GAAGAGCCATTCTGTTGTTATGTGATGCTGCAGTGACACGTTTCAAGATCAGATAAACAGAAGGGAAAATTAATTGTATTAATAATTAATTAAGCAAAAGGAATGCATAGTAACCATGATCAGAGACACATGAGTAGCTGGCAAACCTGGGCACGGTTGAAGTGGCGCAGCTCGGGGCAGAGGCAGGATGCTTGATTATGATGTTACCCAATGCAATGGAATATACAGCAGAACTACCAAACTTGTTCCTATTTTATGAATATTTCTATTTTAAGGAATAAATGACATGTCTGGGACTCTACGGAAAAATGTTACGGCATAGTGGAGTGGTTCAAGGCAGTTTTGACATCTGATCAGTGCAGAACATACAGGGGAATCTGCAGTGGGACATGTTTAAGATGTAACTTGGGAACTAAAGATGTAACAGTTCACTGATTTCATTCTCTGAGGAAAAGTTGAAGTTTTTGAACTCTTAAAACAAGGATGTAATTGCTGTTAGGGCTACTGATGAAAGTCCAGCTGCACTCTGAGTCAAGTATTTTACTGTGTCTGTAGCTGGTGTCAGAGCTGAAAGAGCAGAACACATCACTGAAAACAGAAAAGGAGGAGCTAAACCGCCGCATCCATGACCAGGCGAGGGAAATCACAGGTGGGCTCTCTGCTCTTCACTCAGGTTTTCTACTTCATGTTACTTTGTAAAGCAACAGTCTGCTGCACACAGCAGGCTGACGTGCCTTTGTTTGCATTTTTAGTTTAATGGTTCCACTTCTTTAAGAACTCACATGCATCAGAATTATTTACTGCTTGAATTTCCATGAAGTCCTAAGGGTTTCAGGCCTTTTTGGTGAGGGTGACTGGTAGAAAGCGCTTTACTTGTGAAAACGAGGCTCTGATAGTTAATACAGCTAACTGAGTGCGGCTCTTCTGCTGCTGTGGCTGTGTAGACAGCAGCCAGCAGAGCGTAACTCAGCAGAGCGTAACTCCAGCGGGGAAGGCTGTGAGGGAGGCAGCTGCCGTGAGGAGGGTCAGTGTGCTTGAGGCGTAAAGCATCTCACTTTTCCATAACGCAGCACTGGGCTAGTGCCCCGTCTTCCTTGCTCCTGGAATTACTAGTGCAAGGTATTTGCAGAGTAACTAACTTTACGGAGTGAACCCTTCCGTCGTGGCCACAGTAATGCTTTGGTGCTTCGGATACTTGACCTAGTGTTTGCTGACAGAAGCGCCAATACCACGCGCGAGCTTCAAACAGCAGGCTCTTTACCTGCATGCCTTGCATGCCTGGTGCGGGCACGTGCCTGTGCCTCCAGGGTGGGTGTGCTGCATGGTAGGTGGAACTGGGGTTCTCACTTCGGGTTCCTGTTCTCCGTGGCAGAGACGATGGAAAAGAAGTTGGTAGAGGAAACGAAACAGCTAGAGCTCGATCTGAATGATGAACGGTTACGGTACCAGAACCTGCTGAATGAGTTCAGCCGTTTAGAGGAGCGGTATGACGATCTCAAGGATGAAATGAACTTAATGGTGGTAAGTGGCTAATCAAAAGCTGTTCACAAACATGTTCAGGGTGGCTAATCAAAAGCTGTTCACAAATGTGTTCAGACACAGTCTAGTGTTATAAGTTAGTATCTGATTCTGCTGTCAGCTGTGTGGCGGTGACCTGTACTTGAGGAGGGAACTTATCCTTTTAAATATCAATTCGTTAGATTAGCTCAGCCAAAGCAAATACATTGAAAATTTGTGGTTGCTTTTGGTTTTAGTTTTGACTTTGCGAGTGGTATTGCACGTGCCACCCCCTCCTTGTTTTGCCCTGAAGTTACTCACACGTGCTGGGGTCGTTTGTAGCACATCCATCTGGTGTCACATTTGAAATAGCTCTAGGAATATTTTATGTGGCAGGAAAAAAAAAAATATTCCTCAGTACGATGTCTGGGAAGATAGAGAATTGCTGCCTATGCTTCCTGCAAACCGAGGTTTTCTTTCCCACCAAATGCTGGGCTGTTGCTTGATTCACCTGGTGCAGCCATACTTTTGATGGTGTGGGGTCTGACCTCTCCCCACAGATTTGATTGTGGACTACATCTCATAGGCTTTAGGTGGGAGGAGGGACCAGAATCAAAACTCTTTTCTTATAAATTTTGATAGCTGTGAAATAATACCAAATATTGCAAGCTGAATTAGAGGTTGTGAGGAGACAGTCACAAGGAAAACCATGTAGTGGTGTTGATGTGTTTCGTTTGCACTCCAGAACATCCCTAAGCCTGGGCACAAAAGGACGGATTCAACTCACAGTAGCAATGAATCTGAATATACCTTCAGCTCTGAGATCACAGAAGCAGAAGACTTACCGGTGAGGATGGAGGTAATGTTAAAGAACACTCACAGCTTTTCACTGGTCAGTGGTTGAACTTACTCCTGTCCCTTTTTTGGTACGTGCATGTGAACATGACTAGATGCTTGGCCGTCCAATTGATCTGCATCGCTAAAACATTTGGTTGCCAGTGTTTGTAAGCACAGTCCCTCTTTCAGCATAAAGTGGGACTTGAGAAGACCAGTGAGACTTCCTGAGGAGTCTGTATACTGTATATTCAAGGATTAAAAATGCCAGGGTGGCTAGCCACATTCTTAGTAGCTGCATGGAATGAGTTCCCTGTTGGGGGTGAGAACCTCCTGTTGATTCATTTTTCCTCTCTTTCACAGAGACGAATAAAACTCCGAGAATGCACTATCCCTTTGCGTAAGCAGGGATACAAATCCCAGAATACATAACCATTTTCAGAAAGATGACTCTTTTGATTCAGCTAATGAATAATAATAATGAATAATTTGTGGCTCCTCCCAAATTAGCGGGACTGCTACCACAGCAGAGAGCCGTCAGCTTGGTGGGCCGACTCTCCCTGGCAGTTTGGAGATGCAAAGCTTGTTCTGTGCATTCTGGAGATCCTCTGAGTTGTGAGCCATCGCACAGCTCGCTCCATTTGCCCTCTGTCTAGGTTTATTACCCCCACAGTTGCTTTTCACAGGCTGTCGTTACTGTTTGGGAAAGCCTCCGTGTAAATGATTTTCTACCACGGGTGCAAATACCCTGACACATCAATGCTGACGTATTCTGTGTGGAATCTTTTATGATTTGCCTTCCCACTTATATTTTTCACCAAGCATGGTTGTTTTGGAAAGATGCTCCTACCTTCCTTGGATAATGAGGAAAAGGACAGTGGAAGTACATGTGATTGGGTTTCACATGCAAGCCAAATGCCATCTTTTCCTTTGGCTAATAAACTTACTGAAGAGCCAGTTTTGGTTTTTAGAATAGAAATGAAAAAGATTAACTCCCACGAGGGTTACAGCACTGAGATTAGATCTATGTTTGTTTAACCCCATAAGATGCCAAACTCCAGTTTGACTCTAGATGAGCAGTTTAGAATAATGATACAAAACCACATCAGAAACCAGGGTCCGTCTCAATATGAACCAGTAAAGCCAGAAAACTCAAAGTCTGTTTTCTTTTTCCTGAGCTGTTGGTGTGCTTTATGACTCTTCTTCTCAACAGTAAAAGGAGATGAAGTGGAAATGGCTGTACTTGCTTGTCTGCTGCAGTCATTAATATTAATTTTTTAGTACCCTTTCTAGGCTTCAAAGTTTTATGGCGCACTTCGCAGCAGAGGCTTTGATCTTCTTGCTGCATAAAGTACAGCATGGCTGATGGACAGTTTCTGATGCAGATGACAAACGCTGGTCCTTGCCCAGAAAACAGAGAGAAAGCTAGTGTGTTAGGCCCAGAACAGGCTGCGTAATTAGAATAATTCAAGGAAAAAGGCATAAAATATAGCTTCTGGTACCTGCTTATGTCAGAGCCCCCAGGTACCCTGTACACGTACAATCAGCAGAGAGATTTCTCTGTAGCTGAAGAAATTGAAGTTGTTTCCAGGTGAGTCTAACCACGGACTTTTTTTTCTCCTTTCCCCCTCCAAACAAGTAAGAATAAAAGGTATGCGTAATTACAGACCTACTCTCTGCTAGGTAGTCTCTAGTGCTTTCTTTTGCTAGGCTTTAGGCTTAGATACGTTGTATACCAGTAGATCTTTTCTAAAATAGCATTTGATAGCTGATGAAGTATTTTAGATGCCAATAGTCAACTCTCGGGATCAAGTAACGTTTCTGTGTGTTCCTCTCTCTGCCCGGCCTGTTTTTACTGTCTTTACTCACTGTAGTGCTTCCTTGAGATGTGGAAGGGGAATGCTTCTTGACTTCCCTCTGCTCTTTCTAAAGCAGGAACCGAGTGAGAAAAAGGCACCGCTGGATATGTCTCTTTTCCTCAAGCTGCAGAAACGGGTTACAGAGCTGGAGCAAGAAAAGCAATCCCTGCAGGATGAGCTGGACAGGAAGGAAGAACAGGCTCTCCGTGCTAAAGCTAAGGTGGACTCCTTCTAGCTGAACAGATGCTGACAGCAGAGCATCCTTTCTTGTGAAACAGTGGCTGTGTGAATGCTGGCTGGCTTTTACTACATCTTTTTCTTCCTCTAGTACTTGCTTTATTTAATAAGGTTTATGCCTGGTGCTTAGTACTAGGGACTGCTTATTTAGTTTTTCAAGGTCCTTGAGATCCTCTGATGGAAGTTAACAGGCACAAAAAGTGCTTGGGACTTTGCTTTAAAAAAAAAATAATCAAAAGGCTGGTTTTATTAAGGAATAGCAATATAGAAAATGTACTTAAACAATGGGGAGAATGAGTAATTGTTCACTTTAGGCAGAATAGGAAATGTTTGGACCAGGATGCGGAGCCAAAGCACTGGGATTAGGCATGTTTAGCAGATTTTATTTGAAAGTCTCCTCTGATTTGGTTTCCTTAAGTACTTAAAAAATACAAAGCCAGTTTTGGCAATCGTTTCTTATTACCTTCCCACCAGTGAATTTCTTGAGCATCCTGGCATTCATCCTGCTCTGTTTCGTTACCAGTGACAGTGGTGTGATTTGTACATGATTTTATTTGTACTAACCAGTTACATATCATAAATTCGTAAGTAAATGAAAGGAGATGATGCCAATATTCAAACTAGAGCAGTCAGCAGTAGCAGAATGCGTTATTTCTGGTTTTAGGGGAAAATAAGTTTAGCTCCCTTTCCTTTTCTTGCCTCAGCTAAATTAAAAAATGGGAAGATCAGATTTTTATTTTTCACACTTGTCTGTTTTCTTTCACAGGAGGATGAAAGGCCTCCAATAAGAGGTGCAGAGTTGGAGTATGAGTCGCTCAAGGTAATTCTAAAAAGGAGGTTTCTGTTGTTTTCTGGTGAGAATATGGCCACCAGTTGTATGCGCAGGCTTAGAAAATTACATCAGCCCTCCTGTTTCAGAATATTAGCTGGAGAAACTAGAACAAATATTCCCCGGCAATCATTTTATTGTAGGATTGTCCTTTTTGAGGTGTAGGGTGTGTGGCTGGGGCCGCAGAACAAAAAGATCCTGTAAAACAGGGTGAGTTCTCTGTTGAAACACGTAGTATAGCTTGCAAGCTAAGTTGAGCAAAAACGCAGTGATAAATGTAGCCCTCTTTTCCAAACACATTATTTAAATTAATCATAGAATCATACAATTATTTGGGTTGGAAGGGACCTTAAAGATCATCCAGTTCCAACCCCCCTGCCATGGGCAGGGACACCTTGCACTAGACCAGGTTGCTCCAAGCCTCATCCAGCCTGGCCTTGGACACTTCCAGGGATGGGGCATCCACAGCTTCCCTGGGCAACCTGTTCCAATGCCTCCCCCCCCTCTCTGTGAAGAACTTCTTCCTGATATCTAATCTAAATCGCCCCACTTTCAGTTTAACCCCATTCCCCCTTGTCCTGTCACTACAGGCCCTTGTAAAAAGTCCCCCCCAGCTTTCCTGTAGCCCCTTCAGGTACTGGAATTAACGCCTATCTTAGACCACTACAAGTAAAAATATTTCCTAATACCAGTGAATGATGCAGAATCTTCTTAGCCTGCTGACCAGTTGTTGTTGTGAACTTGATTGTTAAGGGGAGAATAAGAGGAAAAAAAGATTAGTAATTTTTTTCCCATCAATTCTGTACAATTTCGCGTATACGTGCTCTGATTTTGCACTTCAGACAAAAGGTTAGCCCCGTTAGTGAAATCCTCCCAGGCACTAGTCACCGTAGTCAAGAGGCCAGGGATACGGGAGGGATTGATTGATTTGTGGCAGTTACTCATCGTTTTTACCATTTCTATCTGTAGTTTTGTACCTGTGGCTTATAGGCATGTTGGAATGCAGCTGCGTGACGGAATTGTCCCTATTTCTTGCAGCGTCAAGAACTTGAATCGGAGAATAAAAAACTGAAGAACGAGCTGAATGAGCTGCAGAAGGCGCTCACAGAAACACGATCTCCAGAGGTAACAGCTCCTGGTGCCCCTGCGTATAGAGTCCTGCTGGATCAGCTGACTTCGGTAAGCGAAGAGCTTGAAGTCCGCAAGGAAGAAGTCCTCATCCTGAGGTCCCAGCTCGTTAGCCAGAAAGAGGCTATTCAGCCCAAGGTAAAGAGCAGTCGGCAGCTGCACTGTGTAGTGAAGTCACGTCGCGTCACTGACGCCCTTTATTTAACAGCGTGCTTGAAACGGCAGAGTAGACTGGTCTGGGTTTGAAGGCCTTTCTAAGTGTGATCCACTGTTAGTGCACAAACGGCACCAGTCCGAATTGGGAGGTTCTGTCGATGAATCCACGTTGGGTTTGGCTACTCGTTGGTGTAAAGCTCTTGTACCGATCATGCCAGGCTGGTGGGTACCAACTGTCTGACTAGGATCTCCCCAGACTCCTTTAGCAGTGCAGAAGTATTTCTCCTTTGGAGCAGTATCGTTTCTCTCCTGAGTATGCAGTTTGGCTGGCGAATTTACAGTAGTTCTCAGGAGTTCTTTTTAATCGATAGTTCAGCGCAGAGGTACAAGGAACGATTTCTTCTAAATCTCTGTGGGGTCACAGATGATTGCAAGTAAATAATGTTTCATAAAGATGACCTGTGAAGATACGCAAATACCATGTTACTGCTTGGTAGGTGGCTTTGTTGAGAAGAGGGGATTGCAGTCACTGAAATCCATGTATTCTAAAAAGCTCTGACTCGGGTGAGGTACTTAGGGAAGTAATAGCTTTGGAAGTAAGAGCCGTTCAACCCGCAGAGGTACCACCTAAACCCAGGAACTGGTCATTTCCATCGAACTGCCCTGTCTAGGGTTTCATGGCCGCAGCAAGGAATATGCCATCTTTCCTTTGCTACTGCAAAGTCATGTTTATGTAAACTGAAAGTCTGTGATGCATGAAGGTGTGCATATCTTGGTTTAGATGATTAATTATAAAGAAACCCCAACTCGTTCTTCTGCAGGATTTAGAACATTGTACATACTTGAATAGTAATTCCTTGAATAACTTACTCTCAGCAGTGGTTGGATACAAGCGTTGTTTCTACAGCAATTACGAGCGTGAGGGAAATATGAAGGTGACCTGTGGGATGGCTAACAGCCAATTTGCAGATAGCTTCTGCTTGCTAGGTTGGACAGCTGCAGCACAAACAGATGATTTTTTTTTTTTAATGATGTGTTTTTTTCTTCTTTCTTGCCTACCAATTTGATTGCCAGGAGGATAAGGTACACATTTTCTTCTACAGTTATAAGCCAGAACTCTAAAGGCTAAAAACCCCCTCATTTCTCTGCCTCTCTTAAATGACCTACATGTATTTGAAGTTGTTCTTGCACTTTACTTGGCTGGTTTTGAGTAACCTTTCTCATTATCCTATGTCCCCGCACCCCCATCTTCCTGCTCCATGCAAGGGAACAAGTTACTTCAAAACAAGCAGATTTAACCACTTTGAACTGGTGGTTTGTGGTAACCTGAACATGAAAGGAAAGATCAGAAATTGGTCCAGTCAGCTCAATCAGTGTATCGTGCCAACTGTGTTAGAAGAGTAAGAGCAGCACAGTGATTCAGGAATCGGGTCTCTGTTAACTTGCAGAATTAATAAATTCCCCACAAAAAAGTCTGGTATGAAGAACTACCTGACTTTCTAATGTTTGTTATCCCTGTCATGCAACAAACATTCACGACTCGCGATCTGTAGATACTCGATAGGAATTGCTGAATGTTTGACACTAGCAAATGTAGTTAAACACGGAGTGTTGAGGAGTATGAGAAACTGAACGGACTCTGAATGAAGGCTGTTAATTCAAGTATTACCACTACAGCAGGAAGGATATTCCTGAAGATATGAGAGTAATTAGCATTTCTTTCCATCAGCACAAAATTAGTAAGTATGTTCAGACTGCTGAAGCTTGATAGATTGGCAGGTGAGATACAGCAGTTTTCGTGTGTAATAAAATCACAAAGATCTTGCAAGTATGTTGGGAAAAGCTCTGAGGAGCTTGCATATTTTACTGGTTTTCACATTAGATAACACGGATCACACTAGGTATCGAGACCTAGGCTCCAGACATCCACAAAGTTGTTATGGCAAATCCTTTGCAACACTTTACTCAGGAAAATGGCATTGAATTGTTTTGAAAGTCAAAAGGAAAAGTCCTAATTCCATCTCCTCTGTTCATTAGAGTCCTGTGGTTCCACTGTAATTATGCACAACAGTGACTCAGATCAGGCCGGCCGAGGTGACCGTAAACATCTGTGAAGTATTTCAAGTCTTAGAGAACAAGGAGCAAAAGTGCCATCATAAATGTTCAAAACTGAAACAGAATAGTACCGTGATGATATCTAACTTAAAAAATCTCAGGCCTTTCTAAGTTATTTCCTGCTTTGCCAGAGTACTCTGAATATATGAAGTGAGGAATAGGCCTTACTTAGGGGATTTGAAAGACTGCATGTAATGCTGTGTTTAAGAAATATGAATAGAATTAATGTTGCAAAATTATGCTGTTTCAGTTTCAGTATTAGCAGCTGTCCCTGCTAATTTGAAATAAAATGCAAATTCATCATTTCATGACCTTTTGCATGATGAGGAAATGAAGAGAGGTTAACGCATGTACCTGCTTATTAGATATTTGACCATATTGCATGCATTCATTCTAAAAGATACACCAAATGACATAGAAACCATGGATCAGCCTCCAGCTCAGGTCCCCACGCTCAGGTCCCCCAGATTTTAACGTGGCCACTCAAGGAATAGCGTTCCAGGTGGGTGAAGTGACGAAAGCGTGGATTCAGAGAACAATTACATTCTTAAATTTACCCTGGAAATCATCGTTCTTTTTCCAGAATACCATGACAGATTCCACAATCCTCTTGGAAGATGTACAAAAGATGAAGGACAAAGGAGAAATAGCCCAGGCATATATTGGACTGAAGGAAACAAACAGGTACGAGTCCTCTTTCTTTACCGTGCGGTCAGCTGGGGTCAGCTGTGACACACTGCGTGTACCGTATTCAGTAAGCCGCAGCCATGTAAGTCTGGGTACTTGGAGAACACTTGTAGTTGGGGTGATGATTTGGTTTGATTAGTGAAATTGCCGTATGCGATATTTGAAAGCATTATGAAACAATGGGGAAATGCAAAATCAAGCTTCCTGGATTTACATCTTCTTAGCCTTTAATTGCTACATTGCTCAAACCGGCTGCCATTCCCCAGGCTGGTTTCTTACCTTTTGCCCAGCGGTTGTGGCAACAGTCTGTCATACCACGTTTAGCGTAACAGCGTGAAACGCTGCGACCAGTTGGGCTAGCACCGAGAACTGGATTTCATCATTCAGATGAAACAGGTATAAACACGCGAAGTGATTGGCCAAGTTGTTCTAGAGCATTGTTTCTCGTTTGTAGTAACTGCAATTGAGTGTGTAATGACCTTAACATGCCATCTCATCACCATCACCTATCTCTCTTGTATTTTTTTTAAACACTTCTTGAAAGGCAATCTCCCCAGGACTATCATATGCTGAATGAGGACGGAGAACTTTGGCTGGTTTATGAAGGGTTAAAACAAGCCAACAGGTTACCACACCTCTCAGAATGGTTTTTTTTTCATTCATTTGCATTCTCTTTTCTAGCTAACTGTGCCCCTTGCTATGGGTTTGCTTTATCTACAGTGTTTCTAGTGCTTTAACAGTTAGAAAAAAATTCATCACAAATTACAGAAATTAGAGTTTGCCCAAACCCTTCTACATGTCAGTTTATCTCATTTTAAAAGTTAGGATGGCAGCAACAGCTAATACTTGCACAAAAGCAGACAGTAAAATGCCAGAAACTCCACAACTGGAGATGATTTGTAGCCGTGTACTGCTTGTCTGCCTCGGATATCAAAATTGATGTCCCTTACAGTTTTTCAGCCATAGAGAAATACAGTCATTTTTGTAATTATACGCCTATTGTTTGAATAGCTGCAGCGTACTCTTAACTTTCAAATAGCTACGGGTCTCACTCTCCTCGTTGTGACTCCAGTTCCATAAATCCAACGCTGCTCTCCTGCATCTCTCCGTCCTGGATTCAAACTGCGGGACACACAATAACGAACAAAGAGAAGAAATCTGTGGCTCATGGTGGCGCTGATCAAGCCTCGGTGCAGTCGCTGCAGTCTCTGTGAAGAGAGCCGCCTTCCCAGGGAGCGCAGTTCAGGCTCCGCGCGCGTGCATCCACGCGCCTGTCCCAGACTTCCAGAACAGTTCCCAGTCCCGCACGGGCAGCTCATTCAGTAGATCAGGAGCACTGATCTTCAGGGTACACATGTGGTAGCAGTAACTACAGAAGGAGTTATTTTGCAACGAATGCTACTAACTCGAGTCTTTCCTTTCCCTGTGCTAACGAATTCTACACCTAACACTGCTCTGTAAGCCTGCAGAACTTGGAGCCAGCGTGCTGCAGAGCAGGGTGTGGGAGTGCTCGCTCTGCGCCTCCTGCTTCTTGTCCTAGCACTGCAGAGACAAGAAGCTTTATGTTAAATGGCAGAGCGACGCAGGTAAATGACTGTTTGCCCTTGCGTGCTTGATCAGCCTGGTTACTAATAAATGTGCCTGCCTTTTGCATATTTAAACCCTGAAAGATTGTCTAAGTGAACACCAGTAGTCAGTGGTAGTGTCATTTCCTCTGTGGGGACGTAGGAAAGGGTGAGTCAGAGCGCCAAGCAGTGCCTTGCGAGCAGGAGTAGATCCCCGCAGCACTGCTCAGGAGGAGGCTGGTAGGTATTACCTCCTTACACATGAGAATTTGAGACGTGACGTGCCCGAGGGGAAAGAGGACTCAGTGGTGAGGACAAAACACTGCTCCCGGATCCCCATCCTGAGTTTGGTTCTGCAGTTGACCTTTCCTGCGCTAATGACAGCCCTCTGCAAACTGCTGGGTTTAATGTAGAAAATACAGATTGATTCATGTGCATTTGCAATTAAATGGTTGCTGACCAAACAGAGTTAACTACAGAAAGATCTTCCCTTCTTCATATCGCAGGGTTCTAGCTTAAGCGAACGCAGTGTCGTCTTCCTCTTGCAGTTTGGTTTGGGTTGAGGTCAAACCTCTTTGCAGCCCCTTTAAAAGCAGTGACAACCTGTGAAGACCTAGCAATGCATTTATAGCCCCCTGCTCTCGGTGGTACCACACACAGCTTGTGTTCAATCACAGAGCTCATGCAAAGCAGCATCACCATTAGTTTCTCTCCACTTTTTGATCATGCAAGCTTAATTTAATTAGAAGGCATACTGAAGGGTTTAAAGAGTACTCTGCCTTTTTCATTTTCCTTTGCAAGCCGTGGCTAATTGTTCCTGAGCAGCAGCTAAAGCTTTACACGCCCTCTGAGAACTGGGGATGTAACTTTCTAAGCGCGTTCACACAACTGTTGCTCAACCTCTCCAGGCTGCTGGAGTCTCAGCTTCAGTCGCAGAAGAAGAGCCACGAGAATGAACTGGAATCGCTGCGAGGTGAGATCCAAGGTCTGAAGGAAGAAAACAACCGCCAGCAGCAGCTCCTAGCCCAGAACCTGCAGCTGCCTCCAGAGGCCCGCATCGAAGCCAGTCTGCAGCACGAGATCACCCGGCTGACTAATGAGAACTTGGTAAGGGGAACAGGGCTGCGGGAGCAGATTTGGGGGACTTAGAGCCTTGCTGTGCCTCTAAGCTCTTTGATGAAGTTCATTCTTCCAGATGGCAGACTCCTGCAACTGCGTGAGTTTGGGGCGGGGGGGGATTTTTTGTACGTAAGCTAATGGGGGAGAGAGATTTATGATTGCTAATGAGGTAATAATGTTTCAGGGAATTTGTTTGGAGTTTGTGGCATGGAGGAAGCTCGTGGGTCCCAGCTTTCAACTGATGAGTGTAATCATTGATAGATAGAATGACTGATATCCAGGGAACTCATGAAAAACCTTAGTGCCAAGTAGTGGTGTTTGTTCTGTAGTATATTTGTTTGCTTTGTTGAAAAACTCGGATGCAGTTCCTCAATTATTTCATGTCACTTTTCTTCCCATTTCCCTCCTCCCTGCCTGAAGCGACACAGGTAATCCCTGTGTTCTGAGCTCCAGCTCTTCAGTACGTTTTGAAGAAAGAAATAGCTCCAGAAAAAAAAACTTGGTTAGAAGTCACTTAGCTAATAATTGGCATTCCTTGTTTACTGCACAGCATCTCTGTGTGAAGTAAGGAGTTTCACCCGACCTTTCCCTTTTCCTGCAAAGGAGCATCTCCATCATGTGCAGGCTCGTTCCTTTCTGGGGAAATTTTCCAGAGGCCCATGTTAGAATATCGTTGGCTTGTCACTGTTCATTACTAAAGGGAACCAATGGTTCCAAAGGGAACCAGGCAAGGAAGGCTACTTCAGGAAGAAAAATCGTAGCCCTGAGTGTCACTGTTCCCTCCAAACAAGCCAAGGTGTGGTCTTCCCTCATAATGTTCCCTCCAGCAGCTTCTGTCAGGCTCTTGCCTTAGTACCAGCGGTTCTGAGGAAACCATCAGCTAGTGCATGTTGGAAAACTGATTGAAAGTGTAAGTTTGCCTCAGCAGCAGCTGTCTCCCACTGGCAAAGGTAAATGGCAAATCTTTCCGTCTCTGACAGCTCCCTCCTGCTGCTTAGTCATGTTATGATTTTTAGCCTTTTTTCCCCCCAAGAGACCTACTCATCACATTCTCTGTTCCCAAGACAACAAACAGTCATGTAATTACATCCCAGAGGAGTTCTCTTTATTTTCAAACACAGTGAATGTAATTTTACTTGTTGAATATAGACTCATTCCTTGCTCTTTCATGTCTGAGTATTCCAAGTCCGCTCCAAGCCCAGGTACACACTTTGTTTCCTCTCCTAGTTAGCCCTAGAGTGGAAATAATTTACAGGTTTCCCAGGTGTGCTATTAGAATGGCAGTATTCACTGCAATCCCATCTTGATTAGCATAAGAAAAGGTCCCGTCCAGGTTCCCACCAAGGTTATGTTCCAGACCTAGACAGTATTAGTACTGCCCGTTTTTAAAAGGTCTCTCTGTTCTGCAACTTGCCTACATCAGCTTCTCTCTGGGAGAGGCTGGTGTGAACACCACAGCCAGGGACGAGACCACCTAAAAATCAGAGATTCTTGACCGTGTTTTAACCTGGTTCAATCTATATAGTGCTTACTGAAGTATCAGTGTCTCAAAGGGAGGGGGAAAAACAATCCTGTACCTATTTTTACAGTTTTATGAGGAGTTGTATGCAGATGATCCCAAGAAGTATCAATCGTACCGGATTTCACTTTACAAACGGATGATTGTATGTAGATCACGTGAATCCTGTTTCTCTGTTGTCTCGTTTGCTGTTTCTGGAGCACTAATTGAAAAGCAGGCTGCTTCCCTTTCTCCCTTTCAAAGGAAATCCCCTGCAGAGAGCTTCACGATGCCAATTACTTCCCTCACCGCTTTTTTTGTTAGTCTTAGTGTCCTCTGTGTAATCTGCGTCTCTTTTTGATGCACAGTTTTGTTACTAATACAAGTCTTGCACTGTGAGCAATGCAGTTTCTTTTTGAATAGTACTCAATACTGCCCTGAAAAAGAGCTCCGTAATGCGAAAGATGCTCGATTTTTCAGAACCACTCTTTGCTTTAAAACTTTGACGCATTTAAATTCCCTTTGGCAAGACAGAGGCTTTATTATACAGATACTGACCAAGGTGAAGAATGCCTGACGTCCAGTCACAGCCCGAGCTGGTTCAGAGCTCCCTGTACTGTGCTGACACCTGGAACGAACAGATCTATCAGAATCAAAACACAGAACCTTTTCGTATTCTTCAAAAATACAAAATATGAAGGATAAGATTGGAAATAGTACTTCCATAATAATTAAAAAGTTGAGATGGCACTACACGTACGCTTGAGAGAATACAATTTGTGAGGTTCTGCATCTTACTGAGGTGTGAAATCTCTTTAGTTTGTTTTGAAGAACCATAGAAGGAACCTTATTCCGCCTCACATATTTGTTGTTCAGAAATCATGTCTCTTCACTGATATATTCAAACAGTCAGTTGGATTCATATATATATTTTTGTATAATTTCAGGAGAAATTGCTATATCTGACAAGTATCTTGTCTTAACAGGATTGCTGGTGTAAAAATTGAATACTGCTTTGAATGTGAAGCATGGCCTTGATTCTGCTCTTTCAACAGGCCTAATTATCTTACTGCTCAAGCATACTGTATTAGGTTGTAAACGCTTTGCTATATGATTAAGAGCAATTTTGTGCCTAATTCTAGTTGTTGCCAACGCTGCACTGGTATTTTTCAATACTTCAGGAGAGGTGTAGTTTCCCAGATAATGCTTTTGGTAGAAGGAGCTCATGGTCCCTTACTTTGTTACCAGTGCCTACAAAGCATTATTCTTTTTTTAAGCTGCTTTCATACTCCTTAACCTGGAATGGCTTTCAGGTTTTTTTGAGCTGGAGGTTTTGTTTCCTTCAGAAAGGCTTCTCCTTTTTTGATGACATGATTGCTTTAGGGATGTGCTGCCATAGGTCACAGAACTGTTCAAAGATAGGTTTCTGAGGAGCGCTGCATTGAAAGAAAAATACAGGTCTGTTGTAGGAGGAGGACTTTTAGGTGCTGGGTGTTGCTTGGGTAGAGGATATAAAGATGGAAGACCCCGGGTTCAGTCTAAGGCAGTGTGATGACAGCAGGCGATAGGGAGATGGCAGAGCATCACAAGAAATGTCCGATGTTTGGATGTTTGATTTAAGCTAGTTTGAGTGCAGGTTATGATCACTCCGCGGATCTCTTTTATAGTCTTACAAAATGGATAGGGCTGAATGGACAGGGCTTCCTTGGGGGCCTACAAGGAAGCTGGGGGGGACTTTTTACAAGGGCTTGTAGTGACAGGACAAGGGGTAACGGGTTTAAATTGAATGTGGGGAGGTTTAGATTGGGTATCAGGAAGAAGTTCTTCACGGAGAGGGTGGGGAAGCACTGGCACAGGTTGCCCAGAGAAGCTGTGGATGCCCCATCCCTGGGAGTGTTCAAGGCCAGGCTGGATGAGGCTTGGAGCAACCTGGTCTAGTGCAAGGTGTCTCTGCCCATGGCAAGGGGGTTGGAACTAGATGATCTTTAAGGTCTCTTCCGACCCAAACCATTCTATGATTCTATGAATAACGAGCAGCCATGAAGGCATGAATTAGTGATGCAGAAATACAGGCTGGCTATTAAATAATAAAGAAAATTGTTTCCGTGAGGCATTGGGAAGAGCAGGGAGGAAGCATGAGGGAGCTGTGTTTGCAGCAGAGTGGCTGTTGCCCTTAGAACTGAGCTAGCCCTGAGTGCCTGCAGAACGTACCTGCCCAAGAGCTTTGCCTTTGTCACGCTGCACGTAACAACGACGTTTGCGGTATCTGGCTTGCGTTATAGGCGGCGTACCAGCTTGCAAACCTCAGCCAGAGGATGGCACCACTCTTCAGCTTTCCTCACTGCCTTGTAATTCTAACAGCACTGGGTTTGTCTCTGTCACACGTTATGGGGTTTTTCTCATGTCTGAATCTGTCCCTCATCTTCATTTGCAGGATTTAATGGAGCAGCTCGAAAAGCAAGACAAAACTGTTCGCAAGTTAAAGAAACAGTTGAAAGTATTTGCTAAGAAGATCGGTGAACTTGAAGGTACTTTTATAGTTGAAAGACTTTGGTTTACTTTTTGTAATCCCGCTGTCATCATACGCATCTGTTGTAGTGATCATGAGGTCTTCAGTATTGGTTCCAGAAACGGGAGGTGCACTCAGAGCTCTGCATGTTCCTCTATAAACCTTTAGAAGGTTTGTCATATTTTGAAGCGATAAGTAAGATTGATGTTCCTCCAAAGGCAGAAACCATTTGAACATAAAGGAAAGTTACCTGGGCTGTTTGTAGACTCAGTGACAGTACCTGCTTTTGTCTAGACCAGAGCAGTACTAAGTGTGAACAGGCAGAAACCATTTACCTTTGTGAATTCCTTTGTTGAATTCCTGTGTCACTGGACCTGAGGATGCGGAGCCTGGCTTTTCCTGCTGGAGGTTTCCTTTCAGAGCTGCTGGCCAAACTTGAACGTGAGAATGCGGAGATGTGGACTAAGCTGATTTTATTTTTATGAGTGTCAGAGTGAGTTTCCTTAGGATCTTAGGAGTGGTGAGACTGAGAGCTTATTATGTCTCTGCATAAGTAAAGTAATTTTAATTGCTCAAAGCAACTAGTAGTGTTATAAAGTTGAAGTATTAATTTGTATTTAAATAATCCTGGTCTTCACCTTTCAGAACCTTTTTATGGATATCTGTGTTTTCCAGACGCAAGCTTACTTCCTCAGGAGTTGTTTTATTAAGATTTAAACCAGTGACTGTGTAGTCTTCAGTGTTTCCATGTTTGAAAATGGTTGGAGCGAGTCCAGAGGAGGCCACGAAGATGCTCAGAGGGCTGGAGCACCTCTGCTGTGGGGACAGGCTGAGAGAGTTGGGCTTGTTCAGCCTGGAGAAGAGAAGGCTCCGAGGAGACCTCATTGCAGCCTTCCAATACCTGAAGGGGGCTACAAGGAAGCTGGGAGGGACGTTTTACAAGGGCCTGTAGGGACAGGACAAGGGGTAACGGGTTTAAACTGAAATTGGGGAGGTTTAGATTAGATATCAGAAAGAAGTTCTTCTGGGTAGGGTGGGGAGGCACTGGCACAGGTTGCCCAGAGAAGCTGTGGATGCCCCATCCCTGGGAGTGTTCAAGGCCAGACTGGATGTGGCTTTGAGCATCCTGGTCTAGTGGAAGGGGTCCCTGCCCATGGCAGGGGGGGTGGGACTGGAAGATCTTTAAGGTCCCTTCTAACCCAAACCATTCTATGATTCTATGAAAAGAAGAGTGATACCAAGTGAAGCCCGGATTAACAGAAGCATATTATCCTTTAGTTAGAGGCAGCTCTCCTTGAGGTGCAGTTTGGATTTCTGCATTTCCTGTCCTGTTTGACAGGCACGCACATTCAGCACGCTTGCAGGATGGGCATGCGGCTAGGAGGGTTGTGAGAAGAGGATGTAGCTTTCGTGAGATGAAGCAGAGTTCTGCTTTTCAAAACCAAATGTGCAACCAAATCAGGTGGAGTGTACGCATTGGGTGCGATGCCATGTTGTATGCAGCCCAGTGGATGTTTCATACATCCTCCTGCAAGGTTACTCACACGGAGTTTGTTGTTAAAAAGTCTTTCAGTATTGTTGGTTACTGCTGTGGACAAGATCGCATGCACAATACTGAGTAGGAAAATGTTTCTGAAAACATAGTTTCATCTGTGTTTATTACCTAATTAACTTGGAAAGATGTGTAGCTGTGGCTGGGATGGAGTTAACATTCTTCATAGCATCCTGGATAATGCTGTGTTGTGGATTTGTGGCTAAACCAGTGCTGGTAATATACAGGTGTTTTGGCTATTGTTGAACAGTGTCAAGCTTTTCTGTTTTTTCCCACTCTGCCCCCTCAGAAAGCTGGGGGGTGGGAGAGCATGTGGGCACACAGCCGGGACAGCTGACCTGAACAGGCCAAAGCGATATTCCATATTCCATGGCACCTGATGTCAGGAACCAGAAGAGGGGGCTTTATGTACAAAGTAGCTATTGTTTGGAGGCTGGCTGGGCATCAGTCCCACTGTGGGGCGTTGTGAATGATGGCCTTTGCTTCCCCCTACCTTTCCTTTGCCTATTAAACTGTCTTTATCCCAACCCACGAGTTTTCTCCCTTTTGCTGTTAATATTCTCTCCCCCATCCTGCTGGAGGCAGGGTGGGTGCTTGGCTGCTGGTGGAGTTGGGCCTACCACAACAGGCAGCAAACATCAAGCTTGAAAACTGCTGGCATTTTGCAGGGCAGTTAACAGCAGCCCTTGCAGTGCTGATCTGGGATTAAGCCATCAACAGCTATTGCTTCACCTTTCTGCTTTTATATGATGAAATCCAGGAAATCAGGAGTAAGTCTGCATTAGCGAGTGTCATTCACACGCTTCCACTCTTCTTCCAGGGAAGAATGCCACCCCAAGACACGTTTATTGACAATCTTACCTCTTTGTTCAGTGGGAGTTTTGTTGATAACTGTTATCCTGAACCAAAGAAAACATTTCTTAGTTCTGTATGCTGGAGTCCTTCCTCAGAAATGTCATCGTTTCCTCTGGTTTCACTGGAAAATATGATACAATTTCTTGTTATTTTTCCTCTGAAGTGGGCCAGATGGAGAACATATCACCTGGACAAATCATTGACGAACCTATTCGTCCGGTTAACATTCCAAGGAAAGAAAAGGACTTCCAAGGAATGTTAGAATATAAGAAGGAGGATGAACAAAAACTTGTGAAGAATCTTATTTTGGGTAAGCATTTCTCTCATTTGTGGCCTCCTCTACTCCCACACACTGAAAAATGAATGATGAGAACACAGAATTAGCATTATGCAGCCAATAGCTTGTTTTGGTTTTGACTGTGTTCAGTTTGTCTAAAATTCCTAGAAGCCTGTTGCAATCATCCATCCTGATGAGTATGGCATATATTAATGTGCCTGCGTATTTTTAGCATGCAGTTAATGGGGGTTTTAATTCTGTTCTGGTATCCTACCAAGCAAGTGGCTCTTCCTATTTTTCTTCCTATTTTTCCCTGGCCATATATAAATAAGTGTGTACTATTAACCGGGGAGGTTGTGATTTTCCATTGACTTTACACTTAACGGAACGCTGTGTGTTTGTTTCTCCCAAGAGCTGAAACCACGCGGGGTAGCCGTCAACCTGATCCCGGGCCTACCAGCGTATATTTTGTTCATGTGCGTACGCCACGCGGATTACCTTAATGACGACCAAAAAGTGCGGTCGCTGTTGACTTCCACTATCAACGGCATCAAAAAAGTGCTGAAGGTTAGTTAGTCTGCTCGGGTTATAGAAACGCTGATTTAAGATTTTCTTTTGATTTTGTGTCAGAGGAGTGAGAAAAAGGCTTCCAGCGAGTGGCTCTGGATTTCTGAGCAGTAAACTCCTCCCACTGAAGTGATAAAAAGTTGTCTTAACAAGCAACAAATTAGAGTGATAGCATGTTGTCTATATAATACCACAGATGCTTTCAATTAGTGGAAAAAGAACTACCACCTTTTTCTTTTTGAGGCTTCCTCCTCTGAAGCCATATCTGTCAAGTTTTGGATGTAGTCAAAGTTTGCATAGTCAGTCTTCATTAATTTTCTCCTGAATGCTTAATTAACATGTTTCATTTGCAGTTTTGGTTCACAGGTTTCCTTATTTGCTTCTTCTACAGATTACACTGATGATAATATCTTACTGCCTGAAGTCTTTGCAGTGAGCTGGCTAGGAGGGTTTAGACCAGGGGTATCATGAGGGCATCATTAAGACATAAATATGCTTTATTCTTCAAAGAGATTTTTAATAAAACAGATGTGGACAAAAAAACATATTAAAGCAAGCGTTTAATCAAGCTACATGTCTTGAAAGAAAAGTTGAGTAAACAATCCTGCAGGAGCTTAGCTATTCAGAGAGGTTTTTGGACCTGGAGTGAATGGAGTGCATGCTGTAGAGCTCCAGCAATTTTAATTACTAGATTCTGTGTTCTTTGGTGAAGAGGGTTTGTTGTTTTGTTTTCCACATCAGGCCGCCAAAATGGTTATGATGTAAATGACAGTCATCAAACCGGAATTGTTCTTCTGCTGGTTCTGCCTTATTCCCATTCTCCCTGTTGGGCTCTTCCCAAGAGTCATTCTGCCACGGAGTTGGGTGTTGGGGGAATACATTCCCAGTCATGCTGCCCTGCGGTTTCTGCACAGAGCGGTTAGGATGGGTCTGCAAAACACAAAAAGACCATCTCTTTGGTGGAAATCGTATTCTGAATGTTCTTGAAAAGTATTACAGAAAACAGGGAGGGCATCTGATGGTATTTTGTAAAAAACCTTGCTTTTCCAGTACGTTACTGAAATACATAAATTTTGGAAAACGTCAGAATCTGAGTAGCTCCAAGAAAGTAGCTACAATTAGGTGTTTCATTGTTTATCTAGAGTTTTATTATTTTATACCTCCTGCCAGTCTTCGTTGAAATGTGTTTGTTTCTACCTTCAGAAAAGAGGTGATGACTTCGAAACAGTGTCCTTCTGGCTATCAAACACCTGCCGATTTTTGCACTGCCTGAAGCAGTATAGCGGAGAAGAGGTAAGCGGTGCCACTAGTCTGGTTCCTTTTGCTCTGCGCTACTACTGTGAGCATTACTCTTTAACAAATTCCTGTAGTATCTCAAAACCTAGTCGAAGTCTCTTAAAACAGCTAGACTTTTTGGAGTGATGGGGATGAGACAGCATGGCAGACCAGTTTACCTTTGGAGGCTGTGGTATGCCTGATTGCTTCTTCAAACTTAACTGGGCTTTTGGCTGTATATGGCCAGGTGAGAATATCCACGCTGGAGTGGGAAGGAAGGGTCTTGTTAGTTAGTTAGAGTTTGTTAGTGTGTCAGGCACTTGAAGTTTCAAGTCAAGGAAGCAGATGTTGCATAAATCAACAATTAAAAAGCAAATTCTAGCTTAGCCTCAGTCAGAAGAATTTAGAAATTAAAGTTTTGAGGTGCTGTGACTATTATTCTGAAAGTATTATTTGTCAGTTGCATGAAAAAATGTAAATACTGCGTTTGTGTAATGTTTCTGTATTCCACTGAAGTATTAATTTCCATTACTTTACAAATTCAGGGGTTTATGAAGCATAATACGCCTCGTCAAAATGAACACTGCCTCACTAATTTTGATTTAGCTGAATACAGACAAGTACTGAGTGACTTGGCTATTCAGATCTACCAACAACTTGTCCGAGTGTTGGAGAACATTCTGCAGCCGATGATCGGTAAGGCTGAGTTGAATCCCTTAAACTTCACACTGTAATGCCAAAAGGGCAATTGTGATGGTGGTAGTAGAGTGCACCTTGTACTTCTCCTGTCCTGCTTATGGATGGCAAGGACTACACTGGAGAGAGGAAAACGAGACTGAGGGTGGCTCTTCCGGCAGGGACCGAATAAATCGGTTTACCTTCCTCGCACTTGTCATTAATCATGCAATTACAGGAAGAAATTTTGGACAGTCTGATATTTGTTGCCCTGTCTGTTGGGAAATAATCCCATGGAAAAAAAAATCTTAAATTACATGAGAACTCATAATTAAAATTAGTATGGAGAAAAATGGCTCGTGGTTATTATGGGCAGCAATCAGCAATGAAATAGTCAGCAGTAATGAAGCTTACAACATTTAGAGAGATTCTTTTCATTAATTTTTCCTTGTCAGACAGTACTCTCACCCAAATTTTCATTCTGCTTTGTGATCACAACACTCAGAAGAATGGAACAGCTCTTGGTTTGCTGACTCTGCTGCTCACATGACCATCGGAGGATAAAAGTATTTTGCTGAGCTAGAGTTAGACCTTCCTTTCAGACACACATGCTGCAATCTTTGTAAAATCCTGGCAAGTTTAGATTTTGCAGAACACAGAATTGCTAAAAACACGGTAAAGTGTGGCTAGCAGAAAGCCCAGCCTGCTCTTTCTGCGTAAATACTGGTTCGCTGTCTTCTACAATATGGATTTTCAGTCATTTTAAGAGCGTTGTCAATCACATGCAGTTTCAGGAATGCTGGAGCACGAGACTATCCAAGGTGTCTCAGGGGTGAAGCCAACAGGCCTGCGGAAGAGAACATCCAGCATTGCTGATGAAGGGACCTACACCTTGGACTCCATCATTCGGCAGCTGAACTCTTTCCATTCCGTGATGTGTCAGCACGGAATGGACCCAGAGCTGATCAAACAGGTTGTCAAGCAGATGTTCTACATCGTTGGGGCCGTGACGCTCAATAACCTTCTCCTGCGCAAGGACATGTGCTCGTGGAGCAAAGGAATGCAGATAAGGTGGGAGAGCTCTTTTTCGACGTTTCTTGAATGTCCTGCTGGTAATCTTGGTCAACTCTTGACACTGCTGAACATCATTTTGATGGAGCAGCAGAAACATTCTGAATATTTATTTTTCTGCACACCCACAGTTGCAGATGCTGTTAAACTTGTGAGGTTCTGTTAGAAAAAACTTGGTTAACTTAGGCCAAATCCTACCTGGCTTCCAAGGCAACGTGGTAGAAGCAAAACAGAAGTATTTCATCACCAAGTAGGAATCAGAACTGTAGGTGAAATGCTGGTAGTTGTTTTCTCAGCTTTTAGAGAAGAATAGCAAGCACGCCTGCTGTGTTGTTGGTATGCTGGGGGTGCGGTGGATGCCTGCTGTGTCCATCCGCACTGTAGTTTGCTGCATCCTGCGGTAAAGCCGTCTGATTTTATTCCCACATTTGGCATCAGTTGTCCAATGCATTCTGCTGGAACATGCCAGGAAATTTAGCCAAGGCATTCCCCTCCTTCCGGTAACCTTCAAAAGACTCACTTTGCATTTACACAGACAGAATCTCATTTCCCTTTCTTAGACTCGTCACATTCCTTTAATAGGAATGGAAACAAATGGGAAAAGCTAGTTAGTGGAGGTCTTTGGCCATAGTTTTGAAGTCTTTTGAAACTCAGAATTTCCTGCCTTAATCAGAAGGAAACGGTATGAAGACAGAATTACAAGAAATGACAAGTGTGAAGGAAAAACATGCAAGGACAAAGAAGAAACGCTGGGAAAGAGAACTTGCACGTGCTTTCAGTGTAGCCACAGTCAGGCATTAATGGCATAATACTCTTAACCTCTTTGTACAGGTACAATGTGAGTCAACTGGAAGAATGGCTACGTGATAAAAATCTGATGAATAGCGGAGCTAAAGAAACGCTGGAACCCCTCATCCAGGCTGCACAGCTGTTGCAAGTAAAAAAGAAAACGGATGAAGATGCAGAAGCCATTTGTTCAATGTGCAATGCACTGACCACTGCCCAGGTAAGCAAACCCTCGTTCTCTGTTCTGCCGCCACTCTTGCGCAGTTCTCGGCTTTGTTGGTGTTTGCTGTGCTTGCCTGCACTGCTGTCGTGCGTCCATCCAAGATTTCTTACTGCGTTTTGTCTTTGCGCCACTAAAACAGGTTAAGTTGGAAGGGTGGAAAAAAAAGACCAGGCCTTTTGGAGGTCTGATGTTCGAGATAAGTGTTGAACAAACGAGAGGAAGCTCAGTAGACTCTGCAGTGGGTAGCACTATGCATATTCTCTGAGTCTGTGAAAAACCTGAGAGGGAACCCTCCGCTCAAAGACGTCTCTGTACTCCAGACAGCTCTGCTACAGTACTAGGAAATGACCTTTCTGCCCTCAGAGGTAGTATCCAGTTAAGTTAATGGGCAACTCACACAGACCTGTTGTCTCAGGGTCTGCAAACAAAAGCGTTAGGTTGCCGTGCCCATCACCCTGGGGAGGCTGAACCAAGGGTAGCTCCGTACATGGCTGAAGACTTCTATTTCTGAAAGCTTAGCTTTTGCACAGCTAAGGACTTCTATTTCTGAAAGCTTAGCTTTTGCACAGCTAAGGACTTCTATTTCTGAAAGCTTAGCTTTTGCACAGCTAAGTTGCACTTGGTTTTTAACCGTGCTGCATTCGCGTAGAGCTTGTACAGGAATAAAGGGATCCGAGCATCTTTGGTGGTTACTGAATATTCCCATGAGGAGAAGGAAAACACACCTCCCTTCTTTCACAATGGTGTCGGCGCTAGCAGTCGCGTTGATACAACTGTTTTGATTTAGTAATTCACCTTGCTAGGAAATCTTAGTTTTGTACTGAAAGAAGTCAGAATTCCACATGCTTCAAGTATTTTAACTTTGTTAAACAGTGTTTTGGTTTTTTTTTTTTTAAAGAGAATTATGTAAAAAACCCAACCATTTTTTAATAAGCTTTACAAGTTTAGCCCTTATTGTTTTTTAAAGTCTTTGTGATGCAGTTCTTTCCTTTGGTGGTTTTACCCCTATTTTTAGAGAAATAGCTCACTCTCTTGAAAAAGTGAAGCCATAAGACTCTCCTGAATGGAAGCGAGAGAAGGTTAAAATTAGGGTGAGAGATACAGCATGTTTGCAAGGGGTGTAGGAGCACAATCAATTACTTATCATCCGATTTTTCTGTATTTTCCACACACATGTAGGAATTCAGAGGTTCTACCCCCAAAGAACAGGCGTTCTGAAGGAGGCACTCATACAGCATTAGCATTAGGCGGGTGATGGAATGCTGTGTGAATCAATAAAGCAAAAAATAACAAATAATTGCAAGGAGTTGCCTTTCGAAATAGCTAATTTAAAAAGTATTTTGTTAGCATCCGTGGATGCATCTGTTGATTTGCTGGTAAAATGAACCTAAGAACGGTTTTCTTCTTTACAGATTGTAAAAGTTCTGAATTTGTATACGCCAGTTAATGAGTTTGAAGAAAGAGTCTTGGTGTCATTTATACGTACGATACAGGTATGACTATATCTGTTCATCAAAAATCACTTGACTGTTTCTAAGAAACCCTCTGATGAGCTAAAACCACTTGTGTCCTGAAATACATTCAGGAATCTGAAGTAAACTAGGCTTTTTAGCTATCGTTATTTAGCTATGTGGATAGGTAGTCAGCCTTAATTTAAAGCATTTTTTAAAATTTTAGCAATTTTGAAGTGTAAAGCATCTTAAAATTTTAAGCAATCACAAGCTACCTCCAGACTTGCATGAAAATGTTAGTCTCCCTGTCAGTATGGATGAGATTTTTGGAAGGCGAGAGGTAACATTTTTAAATGGTAACATTTACATACACAAATTTACTTGTGTCAGACCTGCGTCTGCATGGGAAGTTCCAACTCCTTTGAAAACTGCAGCCTATGTTCATTCCAGAGTCCTCTATTTAGCCCTTCTGGTTTTATATATATAGATGAAAATGAAACATTTTGAAAACTCCAAAGCAGCCAGTAGGGCAAAATAAAAGAAATAAAGATCATCTTTCTGGTCTATTAGGAATCTCATCACATTACTAGCTGGATAAGGGAGGTTGGGGAAGTAGAACTGAGGTAAAACTGTAGTTCCACTTACTGAAGAGATGCACTTACTCGCATAGTGGGCAGATTCTTCCTTTTGCAGGGAATCTAAATACCTTGAGATTGTGTTGATACGCAGAACCAAAAAAGACAAAAGTAACTATGGTTTAAGGTCACAACTGTTGCAAATATCTTGGGTCAAGTTAGGACAGTGTGTCTGTAAGCAGAGATGAAATACTGCCTCTCTGCAAGATGATTATTATCAGCGAAGAGGCTAAATGCTAATGTAATCACTTCCTTCTCTTTGCAGATGCGCCTGCGAGACAGGAAGGACTCTCCCCAGTTGCTCATGGATGCTAAGCACATCTTTCCTGTTACATTTCCATTTAATCCATCTTCTCTGGCATTAGAAACCATTCAGATCCCAGCCAGCTTGGGCCTGGGCTTCATATCACGTGTCTGATCCCAAGGATGTACCCGTCAGTGTTAGATGGAGTCAGTTCCCTGGTATCCTTACCCGTTCAAACATAGTGAGCCACTGAAAACACATTTTCTGTACAAACAGTCTCTATGTGCCCAGATCTGTAGTAAAAGTAGCTGGGAAACTACGTAACAGCACGACAGATTGAAGGCTAATGGAAAGATGTGCGTTTGGGTTCAGTCATTGCGTTTACGAGGACATCACCAATTCGTACGTTTCCAGAGTGTGGAAATTGGGCTTGGACAAAAACTGTGTCTTCAGCTGTCTAGAGACATTTTTAGATCTTTAGTAACCTATTTAAATAGTGTAAATTAAACTCGTATGTAATCTTCTCGTAGGCAGGGACCGAGAGGGACAGTCCCAGTCCTGAACGTGGAAGACTTGAAAGTAAGGCATTTTGTAGTAGAATACACGGTCACCTGGGAGCCTGTTACATTTAGTTTGTAAAAACTGGAATGGGGAAACACAAACTGGCAATATGTAAAATGATTTCTTAAACCACTTCCTTATTTATGTCAGTTTGACATAAACTCTAGTGATAAGTCTTGTATCTCACGATATGCTATAACTTAGGTGTTCATTTGTTAGTACTGTGGTTTACCAAGCATACTAAATTGCTGCTGCATATTGTGTTCTTTTCAATGTATAACAGTATCATCCTAGGCACTAAAAATAAGGTATTTCTGGTTTTTTTTTGTTGTCAACCTCATTTACAGTCTGATGCAGTCTGTTATTTTAACTCTACTTTTGCAAATGATATCAGCACCTGTAGAGGAAAATGGTAACTAAGCACAAGTAGCACCCTGGAAATGACCTGTTTAGTTATTTTTAAAAGTAGGTAGCTAAAAATACAGAATCTTGAAGCAAATGATCGGAAGTCAATAAATATTTTAGTATTTATTTAGATTTTGTAGTCTGTCTAATGCTGTTCTTCGTTTCTAGACCCCAGAGATGACTGTGTATTTTGAGTATAATCTCTTGTTTTGTTGCCACTTAAAAAGAGGGATAAAAGTGTTCTTCCGTACTGGAATTTGAGAGGAAACACTTCAGCAGAAAATTACTGCAGTAGCCCAAGGCTCTCATTCTTTGAAGGGTTGACCACGAAGAACGTTGCATAGGTTTTTGAGTATGATGCTGTCATTTGACTATGATTCATGCTGATTTAATGGTTGGAGATCCAGAGTGCATAATGAGAAACTGAGTTATTTTGGATATTGCACATCTTAACTGGAAAGATTTTTCTGTCTCACACGTCTTGGATCTGCTGTATAGAATTCACATTTCACAACGTGCAATATAAGTGCAGAAGACTTGCTTAAGGTTCCAATTCTGAACTTTAAAACAGGCAGTTTGTGGTGTGTGGCTCGAATATACCTGTAAAAAAAGCCACGCACATCGCTCGGTTGCATTGTGCAATATTTGTTATGTATTATAAGAATTAGCAACTTAGCATTAATTTCTTTCGAAATACTGAGAAATAATCTAGAGGTACACTATTAGACTATTTGGTACGAACCTGTTTGCCTGCAAACTCACAGAAAACAACTGCTGTTACTCAGACTGAAACGTTTCAGTTGCGTTTTACTCGAGAGGTAGACGTGCTGTTCCTACGGTTGCTAAAACCGGTAGCGAAGACAACCGAAGCTTGGCAGTATCATTTGAAGATGCTCATATCGGCTTATTTTCAATGTATGCCCCACATTATGTTTGATGGATCATGCCAGTACTTCCAAGAACTTAATAACTGCATTGCATAGATGTTTTGAATGACCTTTGCTAAATGATTTAGAATTGCTTTCCCGTGCACGGTATACCAAACACTCTTATTTCAAACGTTACTTGATTTTTGAAACTACGGCTGCTGTTAAGTGGCTCCAAATAAGGCGAAACGTAGTTTTCAGACCTTTAGGGGTACTCTACTTGTGAGAATGTAATGGGAAAGCCTTCACATCCAGTGACGAGGTTAGGGAAGAAGATAGGTGAGAATATGCCAACCTACGAGTTTTTTCTCCTGTTGAGAAACAATTGGCATTACAGTATGTTCATACTGTAGATCAGGAAATGTATCCACTACTTAGGCATTAGTGTATTAAAGTGTATGCCTAAATGTATTTTTGTTTTATTTTTTAAGTTGGTTTACCTGTAAAAAGCCTTATTGTATCTTGTTTCCTTCCAAACCAGTAGTGCTTAGTAATTTACAGGTATTATCCTTCAACTCAGTGGTTTGACTGGTATTATTTTTATATCACGTTAAAAGTATATGCTGCTTGACATGTTTTAAAGGAAAATATTTTTAAGTTGAAATAGGTGTGTAATTGGTAATTCATCTAACATTTTACATGGCAGTATTTTACATGCACTTTTCAGAAGTAAAATTTTAGTGGCAGTGTGTAATATATCTTTCACCGTAGGACTAATCTCTCTTCGACCATGGAATATAATGCAGAATTATTTTAACAACCTCTTTTTTTTTTTCCTTTAAATCATTGTTATGCTCTTTTAATGTGAACATATCTTTTATATTTTAATTTATTATCTACTGCTATGATAGATTTTATCGGATGCTGGAAAAATACTTTGTCAATGACCCCTTAGAATTACATTCTGGAGATTTTGCACAATAATTACCTCATTCAGTTTGGTGTATTTTTATTCCAGTGATCACTTATTCTGATGTTTAGGACACAGTCTTCTATCCAAATTTTGAAAAACTGCTTCTCAGACTTCAATCCGGGATGGAACGTGAAAGTGCTTGAGTCCGTTAAATGGGATTAATCTGTTTTATCTATCACAGGGAAAAAAAAAAATAGGATCAACTTCACTGCTGAAAAGTGGATTAATATCCAATAACATTTGTTCCCTACTTGGAAACACCAGCATTTGCAGTTTGAAGGTCTGTGTAATTTGTGATTTAAACTGAACACATTTCAAATACCGTACAAAAACTATGGGCAAACACTTGGTTTTTTTAAGATGCTGATACTTCATGTGATAAATAAAAGCCTTTAAACATAGGTTTTCACTGGATGCCACTACAGTACATAGATGAAAACCAAAACATTGTCAGAATGACCTGAGCTCTGATCTGTTGTAGTGTCTGATGTTGTACTTAGTAAATGTATGCACCATAAAAACTGTAGCCTAATAGCTATCACTGGAAAACGTCCAAATAAAAATACAACTGTAAGATTTGCTTGGGATTTTTTTGATTGCTTGCTTTCTTGGCTTGTTTCCGAGTGCTGGCGTAGTCCCTGGATGAACATGCGGGTTGCCTCTACCTTCACGGCAGATTTGGTGTTGGCTGCCAGGGCAGCTGCTTAAAATCCGAGGACTGTATAAATACACACCCGGATACTGGTGGTGTGCTGTGAACTGCTGTGAAAATACTTTCTTTTGATGGAACCCGCTTCTGGTAGCTTATTTGGTTACCAAATACCAAAATAAGATTTGTACTTCGCTAAAACGTTGTCTTCTGTGCCACGCAAGCTCTTCGGTGCCAGGATGGGGCCTCCGGACGTATATCCACCCACGAAAGCCTGGTACTGCGTTCTTCTCCCTGACAGAGGATATTTAAATATAATACCTATTCGACTGCTAAGCTTACTAAATGCATTGCTTGTTTTTATCTTATTCTGTTAGAGAAACTCCTTCCTGGTGCCTTACAGGAAGGTGATTAGTGTTTGTGTTGTTTTCCTGCTGGGTCAGGAATGGCTCCCCTCGTCATCCCTCTGGCAGCTGGAGTGTGATCATTATTCCTAATCCCTAAAGATGTATCCAAGGTGCCAGCTTTCCGCGTGTGGTAACTGGGACTACTCCTCCGCTCCACGGTGCTTATGTACCTGTCGGAACCGGGAGCTAGCGTGCCAGCTGCCCGATGAACCGACCCGCGCAGCTGGGGATGCGGCGCCTCAGCTGTGCCTATGGCGGGAGCCGCCTTCCTCCTCGGCCGGGAAGGGCTG